GAGTAATGTAACAGTAGTAATGGCAGGGATTGTTTCATAGTTAAAAGTGAAGTAACTGGAATTGGTGAAACAAGGGAAAGAACATGAAATCATTGTCGAGGTAATAGTTTGTGGTGTTTTACTTTTTAGTTCCTGTGAAGACCTAGGTAATGTGATGGTAGGAATGCTTATCATTTGGGAAGAGAATTTGAGAGTAGGGTGATAGGAGCTCATGAGGTAGAATGTATGTCTGTGTTCTCAAAGGAAGAATTCATGCATGCCATATCTAATTGCCATTAGAGTTCACTAACCAAAATAGTTGCTTTACCTCTGTGCATTAATTTCAATAACAGTTCAGCATCAATGTGAAGCCTTCACTTTCCTTGCTGAACAATATTTTTTTGCAATTGAGGTTACATATGCTGTGATTTTTAAGTTACATTCTTTACAGGTTTTGCTATTTGAAAATTTTATAGACTTTTCTGGGAGCATCAGAAAATGTACAGAAGAAAATTAGTAAATAATGAATGGTTCCTTTGCACAATTAGTGCAATGTAAATTCTCCATTCTTCATCTCATAAGTTAAGCAGATGTGAAACATTCTCTTAAAAATTTTATGGGTTCTTTTAATTGTTGCTTTAGTAGTGATGTGCTTTTGCTATTTTTGCAGCATCAAAATCATTCTCTGTCATGCTTCATTTGGTTGCAGTGGAGATGACTGTCAGAGAAATAATTTTTCAGGAAGCATTAATTGAAATGATGGTTTTATATTCAGCATGCAGTAACTGACAGATGTAGGTAAGGAACAGACAAAATTCATTAAGTGGCATTTCTCCAGTTTTTTATCTTTTTCTCCCTCCATAAAAGCAACAACGCCAGATGAAATCAGAAATTCATTTAATATACTGCACAACGTTGTAGAAAATGTTTTATGCAATCGCTTTCTTTGTCCCACAGTTTTCAAACAAATTCTGGGGAAAAGTTTTGGAAACTGAAACCTTAAGAAATTACTCAAGTGCTGGAAGCATCAGTAACAAATCTTCATGTTTCCTAAACCCCTTTATAATATTTGTATATAAATTTAACCCAAATCTGCATAACCATTCTAAAACACTTGGGTCAAGCAAAGAAGTATTGCACATCTTTGACATAGAGCACTTAAAATTAGTGCTTAATAAACATAAAAGCAGCCAGTCTGTGGCCTGTTGTCATGCAGAATGTAAGACAGAAGGCTGCTTCTTTTGCCAGTAACATGTGGTCGTGTTGAACTCTTTATTTCCATTCATTTTTTTTTATTCCCCACTGATTCTTTTTCACTTCCTTAGATGTTTGAGATCTTCATATAGAAATGATATTTCACATGACTTTCCTTTGCAGTGCTCTTTCATTATTGTCACAGAACTCAATGCTTAAGGGACAAGCGAGAAATAAAAAAAAAAAATAGGAGCAGTAATGAAGTCAGTACGTGTAATATAAAAAAAAATAATTAAACAAATCTAGCAGCAGGAAAGCGGTCTCCTAGTTAAAAGTACTGGTGAGGACAGATGTCCACTTCCAGATCTTGCTGTGCTAATTGACGTTTTTGCCATCTGTACTACCTGTCAGCGCACACTAGCTTGGAAGGAGCATCCCGCAGATCTGCCAGTGCGACAAAGTGTGAGTGACCTCTAATGCTCTTCAAGCAACTAAGTTAGGCTTGCTCAAAACACCTTTAGGACTATTTGAAATAACGTTTCTGAATAAAGCAGATTATTTGAAAAAGATAAGGAGTGCCTCCCTTACACCTTTTGCTGGCAATAGCATGTGGAATTTATGGAACCTTTTGAAAAATAACATCTTGCATTGCCTCAGATTCTCAATCACCTTTCCCTTCACTGTGTCTCTTTGTATGACTTTAGCTTTTCTGTGTATTTTATTGTCCCTTTCTGACCTTATCTCTACAGTAATGCTTAGGACTGTTCTGATTGATTTCATCAGTTGGTCTGTAGATTTCTTCATTCTCCCCTTTCCTTTCTCTCTAAACAGGAGTTTGTTAGTTTCTGGCATTGGGGGGGGGGGGCAGAATTTTGCTGAACCTGTTTTTTGAGTGATGGCCAGATCTCAGGAGAAGGGAAAACTTATAGTTTGGATTGAAAATTGAATTTCATTTTCCAGTATTTCTAAATTATTTACAAGAAAATAGATTTCATAATTAAAGATGACTATGTTCTGGTTTTTTAGGTGAGACTGACTTGGTGAGTAATTTCACCAAGACATAGACTTACAGAAAAAAATAAAATCGCACACATGATTTACCCATGTCTATTTATGAGTCTTAAGGAAGATAATATTTATCACAAAAAATGAAAGAGTACAATTAAATAAAATTCAGGTCTAAATTTCCAACACAGGTTACTTAAGATATAGTCTGGAAAAATAATGGTGACCGTAGATGCTTTAAGCTCAGTCTAGTCCTCAACCTTTTGGTGTCTAAATTTGTATGCTGTCTAAATGAACATTTTTTGTCTTGGAGAAAAACCAGCTCTTTGGGTTCCAGCATGTCTCTTTTGCTTTGGAAGCTTCTCAATGTGTATGTGTATTTATATGTGCAATATGATCGGCAACATAGGACAGGATACATATGCTTTTTATGGCCTCCTGAGGTAAAGAATATAGCATAATTTCAAAGCAGTGAATTCATGATGACTAGGTAAGTATAATTAGGATTGTTGAAAAATACTGCAGCTATATCCTGTACTACTTCAGCCATTCTTTTCATGCTGCTGAGTACCCTGTCACCTGCTTACCTGCTGGAAGTGGCCCACTACTGTTCTGTATTGGAAAGGAGGCATTTTTCAGACATCTCTTCCTTCCACTTTCCCATGTGCTTGAGGTTTTTTTTTCCTGTTTCAGAGTTTTGTATTGCTGCTTGTAGATGCGTTATATGAATGTTTCTGCCAAAAATCCCTACCACTATCAGTGCTGCCCATGTACTTTCCCCCTTTATGTATGAAGTCACCACTGTATTTGGAGGAGGTTGTGTTCTGGGGGCCTCGTGTAAATTGTATATGCCATTTTTAGTGAAAATCCTTCCTTGTATTAAAGGGCTTTGCATCCCACTGAAAGCTAATCAAACTGCGTTTGGTCTCTGCTAAGGCCTCATCCCTATGTCAGATCCCATCAGGGTAACTCCCCTGATCTCTCGTGTGTGTTGTCCCAACTTCCGTCATCTGCATTGGTTCGCAAAAAGGCAACTACCCAAATGGCTGATAGCCTGCAATTCGTATTTCATAGGGGAAAGTGTTTATCCAACATTGGAAGCTGACTGAGAGCTCATGGAGTAGCAGAGAAGTTTGACATGTTATTGTTTGAATCGCGGAGAATAATGTAGATACACTTTGTAATAGCTGGAACCTGTCTGTTACAGTGTCACTAAGCACTAGGTACTGAAAATTAAATGAAGTGAGGTAATAATAACTACAGCATGCCTTTATCTGGGAGACGCGGATAGTATTTCTTAGAAGCTGAAGGTGAAATGAAAGTTTGATGAGTTAACAAGAGCCAGGAGCTACACAACAGCTGTAATTATATACCTTAAGTGAAAGGTGAGTCAACGTCTTTGCCTGTACTGTGGCAGAATTGGTTTGTTCAGAGAAGCATCTCTTTCGACTTGAGGAAATTACACTTGGGCCTGGTGCTTTCATCCAAGAGGTGACTTACTGGCACATGCACGCTGCTGGGAACAGTTGCACCAGTCCTGAATGAACGGGACGTAAAGCTGAGTACCACTGTCACATTAGGATCCTGATTTGTTTTGCTCGACACCTTGAAGGTGCTCTTAGTAGGACTCTCCATTCCTGCACCACCCGGTGGGGTGTTGGTCTGCTCTGGGGGAGGCAGCAACCCTGAACTGCCTGAGGAGAGGAATTTATACAGTGTGGGATCAGTCATTTCCTGTTGCTCTCTTGCAGGCACCTTTGTATTCCTCCCAGGTCTACTCTCCATTTAGGTATTTTCGTTGTGTCACACTAGGGTGAATAAGCATGAATAACTTTGCGTTGCTGATCACATTCAAAACCTACAGTTTTGTAAATGTTCCTACTAATATCAAATACTATTTGGCAGATATATGTAACCACTTATTTTATTGCAGTTCTTTACGCTGTTGAGAGCGGTGTACAGGCACAGTTATTCTACCCTAACACTTGCAAGTCTTTTTTTTTTTTTTCTTCCTTTTTTTTTTTCTTTTTCTTTCCAAAAAGGTGCTAGACGTGCGTACATTAATATAATTAGAAAATAGGGAAAAAAGCACCTGCGTTGTTCAGTGCAAACACACATTCTTACACTGTGTCCTTAAATTGAAGTGTTCATAAATTGAAGTGTTGTGCAAAATGCACACATTTTTATATCGTTTTAAGGAACCATATAATTTCCTTTTTAATTTCTTTACATGTATAACCTGTCACTTCGACTGTGTTTTTTCACTTAACAAAATTTTGATGCAGTTCATTCCAGTGATTGTGTGATAGTAGATAGACAGCAAGAGAGGTTGGTTAGAAGTAGAGCAAGACATGCTTTATGGATTTATACTTTGAGGTCATTGACCTGAGGTTAAAACAGGGATCTGTATGCTGCTTCTATTGATATTACCAAAAGCTGCCAACAGCTATTCCAACTGCATCCCAAATATGATTTATTTGTGCTTTATTATCTGTTTTCAGAAGTCATTGCTTACGTGTGTGTATGTATCTATATACATAGGATTTACTAAAGTAACACTACTAATTCAAAGACTTTTTTTAAGATTAAAACTGGCAGGAATTAGTAGTAAATAGAGTCCATAAAGATTCTGTTCAGAACAAAAGGACAAATCATCTTGCAAAAGCAACATTTAAGTGGAATATCTATGTAATTGTTAATATGCCATAGGTGGTACAGCTTGCAATTGTCCTTGCAGAAATAATTTATAGGAATGCAGGTGTAAGTGGGCATTATCTATTTCACTGCAATTCTAATTTATTTTATTTTAATTTTATTTACAGGATTAGCTGGCACTGCTGCGGACCTAGAAAAAAGAAAGCTTATTTTTGGAAAAAATTTTATACCTCCAAAGAAGCCAAAAACATTCTTACAGCTAGTCTGGGAAGCGTTGCAGGATGTGACTCTTATAATCTTGGAAATTGCAGCCATCATATCTTTGGGGCTTTCATTTTATCAGCCACCTGGAGAAGGGAATGAAGGTAAAAGCTTTTTAGAGAAATCATTAATATAAGTTTAAGTAAAAGCAGTCTTGTATCTCAGATTAAATCCATCCCCACCCTCCAGAAGGTCACTAAAGGAAATTTCCATGTGCTTTGTTCCTATTGCCATTACATCTGGTACTGACATATTTTCTGTGTGCTTGACATTTCTTTATGCAAATAGCTGAACCTCATGACGTACTAAAATGAGTTAAAGAAAAATCATAATATTCTTATAAAACCGGAGTATTTTTGTTTCTGTTTTCACCTTTGAGCTTGTGTTTGGTGTTTGTTTATTCATCTTAGATGGTTGTTTACTGCATTATGGAGGAGAAATATGTAATTGCTTATATAACTGATGTATCCTATCTACATGAACATGGACAGGTCTTCAGCTAGTTTATACCAGCTGAAGACTTGAACTTAGTGAAATTTACTCATTTTAGTATTTTTAGTGATACAGTTAAGGCTAGCGAGCCTCGCTCAAAGGGCAGTATTAGAGGCTAATCATGTTACTTATAAACTATATGCTGCAGAATCCTTCTGTGATATCTGTAGAAAGTTTTAACACCCCTTGCCCCCCTCCCTTTTTCCTCCCCTTGGAAACTCCTCTTGAATTAACATGCTTAAAATATTTGTTCCTCTACATAAATGCAAGATTTCCATTTCTGGCAATGATCCAGATCTTCCCCCGACCCCCGGCTCTCTCACATTTATAAAGCTGGATAAAACATGCTATGTGAAATGACGTGAATAGCTTGGCAAATATATGAAGAATGTCTTCCTCTAAATATAGCCTTGAAATGCTTTTTACATTCGCTTCAGTTTCCTTTGGCTACTTTCCTTGAAGACCCTTCCTTCTTCCTTTTCCATTCACAAGCAGAATAAGCACGTCGCTATGCATAGCTCGTGTATCGTAATTATGATTCTTTAATCCTATATATATAATCAGGAATCTCTTGTTGCTTTCTCACTGTATTTTGAATATGTGATTATTGATTCAGCAGGTGTCTGATTTAGGATGAAAAGATAAAGGAGTCATTTGGTTTTTAGCTGAAGAAAATGTTATTTATTGTTATTGCTTCATATAACTGAACATTGTAGAATACCTTGGGGACATTGTAAACCATGAATGCTGCTTTGCAAAATTAGAATTTAGTTCTGCGAACTCTTTTCTTAGGCATAAATGTGCAGATTAAAAACCCTCTTATTTTTTAATGTATTTGGTGGTAAAGAAATTTTAAAAAATAGGATTGTTACCGGTTTTAGGAAGAGGGGAGGTGTGTCGTCAGACGATGTTTTGTTTTGTTTGTTTGTTTGTTTTAAATTACTATAATTTTGATACTGCATTTGAAATGTTTCTTTTCCCATAGGAAGGTATGACACATCTGAGATTCTGAGATAGTCTGAAAGGCTCAGCAGCACAGCCTGGGAAAAAGTGTTTCTGTTTTCCCACAGCACAGTGTTTTTTTCAGTGGTTGCTGTTTTCCCTATGTTTTTAGAATTGTGTTGCTGGAAGCATTTGCCATGTTCTATGCAGGGAGACTAAATCAAGTTAGTGAATATCTTTTAATCCAACTTTTTGAACATACTGTAAAGTAAAATCCTTTACATCTTTTTTAAAGACTTTGAGCAGTTGTATAAATGTGGGAGATTCTCTTTCATTTTAAAATATTTTCTGAACTGCTGCCAAGGATGCTTAAACTTTAATGGTAGCTGTGCTTTTTAGAGTCCTAAACATTGAAAAACTGACATATTAAGCTTGATTTTGCTATTGGTGAAGTGGGATGTAGTCATACTTGAAGTTGACTTGATGGTTTTGCATAACCTTTGGTAACCATTTATAAAACAAAATTATATGTAGACTAATGTTAAATAAATATTCAAAAGAGCTTTTTAAGAAGAAAGAAAATACACTGTCTTGCCTACACTTAAGCCAATTTATTAACAATTTAAACATTTAATTGTTGAACATGAACCTGGATTCAGACCAAACGTGAGCCTATCTGAGGAGATTGTGATTCTTTGAAAGGGCAACAACTCATGTGCTTTCTGTCTTGTGAAATGTCTGCTTACCTGTGGAAGTCTCATATTCATTATACGTCGCTTTAGATTGGTCTATCTGTGCATTGCTGTTGTAACAGAGAACATGGGAACAAATGTCGTATAATATATAACCTCCTCACAGCAGTCTGCCTTATGCCTGATCTCATTTTCTTGAGGTGAGAGTGTAATATTGCCAATGGGGTGGCATAGGGAATCGCTACTGAGTGGCTGGGGTAAATGACAAGTGCTCCTCTGGAAAGTGTGAAAACCTACATTTTTCTTTTCTGAGACTTTCCAGAACGAAAATTATTCATTGAAATGTAATGTTCAAGTTTATTTGCAAGTTTTATGTTTTTTCTTGAAAAGAATGTTTTTTCTTCTGAAAATACGGCCCAATGCCAGGAAGAGGAGCTGGCATTTCTTGCTGTCTACTCTTGAACTTGCCCAGCTCCTCCACAGCCTACTTCAAAAGTTTCTCAGACAGTTGCTGGATGAAATTAATAGTTGTGCTGTCCAGCTCCCTGGATGATGCCTTTGTGGGGAGCAAGTGAGAGGCGGTGCCACAGTCCCTGGTGCTCAGATCTCCCCTAGATCTCTTCATGGAAGCAGTGTGGATGGACTGCAGTGCGTGCTCACAGCTGATGGAGCTTGGTCCATGGTCTCACTAGCCAATGGTCAGCTTCACTGGAAAGAATTTCCCATTCTAGATGATGCATTCTTAACTTTTTATTTCTTTTCTCCCCCCACCCCCCCGTCCCTAAAGGTTGTTGGTATTAATTTGCTGGTTGATGACAATGTGAAATACAAAGGTTGTGACAGCCAAATTTGTCTGCAACTCAACAAAACGTCTCCTTTGTGTAACAGGACACTACTTTTTGGTGCATGATTGTTTTATGGCATATGAGACAGCCTCCTCTTTTGAATTCTAATTTTTTTCTTTTGTTTTTCAAAATGAAATGCATTTTCATTTTGAAAATGAGTCAACGAGACTGTTCTCCTTCCCACACTGATTTGCCCAATCATCACTGCTAATTACCTACTTACTGTCACTCACATGGAACTTTCAGAGTTGAAAAAGAGTCATAAACATAAGTTCAATACTGTTGCAATGTAAAAGAAAGAAATAAAAAGAGGCAAAACCTTTATGAGCAGACAGGCATGAGACACTCTTGGTAAGTGGTATGATGAGGGGAGATAATCGAGAGCAGCCAATTTCCACACAGGTTCATGATGTACATAGCGACACTGTATTTTTCTTGTCACAGTGAATTTCACACTGTGAATTGGCCTCATGTTGCACAGTGTAGTTGTGCTGATTCTTTGGTCATGGCTAAAAGTGTCTGTGATGATCTTATGCTTTTTCAATGTCTTTGAGATGTGTGACTAGGACAGGATGGTGAACAGAGCCTGAGCCTTTATGTTGGAGACAGAACTATGTGAAAGTGGACATTTCCAGAGAAATAACTTTGTCCATGGCAAAAGCATTAGCCAAATGTTTTCTTTCCCGTTTGGTCAGAAAGACCTTGATTTATCTTCAGGAGCAACTTGAATGATAAGTCTGGCCAGGTTGTTGTGGCTGAAGCCGTAAAAGATGATAATATCAGAGAAGGGTTTGGACAAGCTGGATGCTACAATGAGAGCTGGAGATCTTTTATTTTCTGTTATTGTCAAACACACAGAGAGACCTGAATAAGAGATGGCAGTGGTGTAGTGCCAGTGCATTATCAGCTGCCAAAGGGATGGAAGAGCATCTGAAAAAGCCAGTGAAAAGCAAGGCTGTGATTTGATTTACCCTCTCCAGACTTTCTTGGGAGTGGAGCCTTGTAGATGTTACCCAGTTGTAAGGAGTGGTTGTGCTTGCTGCCTCATACCACACAGTAGACCCAGGCATTCGATATGGCAGGGCTGTGCCAGGGTCCCTGGCGATGCCTCTTCTCTGAGGATGTACCCTGCAGCAATGGGGAAGGAGTGCAAGAGCTGAGGGAAAAATTGAATTTCTCTCATGCTGGACATTTTGATAGTCATCATTTTTGAAAAAATACTAACTTTACATGAAAGCTCAAATAAGAAAGGGATAATGGAAGTAAATTTTTACAGAATGTTAAAAATTGGCCAGTTGTTTTCTTTTGGCGTTTTTGATTGACACAGCACTGTCTTGCAATGGTTCATTTGCTTATTGCTTAGGACTAACTTCAAAAGTTATGACTGTCTAGAAGTGACAGCCTTTCATTGTAGGAATAAGGCATAATAGCATGAAAATAAGACACTTTAAGACACAGTGTCGGAAACACAGCCTTGCGTATTTTTTTAATTGAGCGTATGTGTATACTCTGCCTTTATATCTAATATATTTGTATCAGCCTTTCACATATCCTAAACTTTTATCTACCAATGACCTTATTATTAATATAATAAATTGAAGTAATTTTTATTTTTTAAAATTGATATAACTCTTTCTTTTTGGACACTTGAAAACTAATTTTTGAAGCTTTGAAACAATTAGCATTTAACTGGTTTCTGCAGTTTTAAGTGCAAAATACTTTTCTCCTGAGGCATTTGAAGGGGGAATCATGCATGATAAATTCCACACATCCAAAAAATATTAGAGTGCATGAACTGCTTCAGGAACCTTGTCTAAGAGTGTAATCTAATGTATGTATGTTAGTGCGTTTTGCTGTTTTAGGCAGTTACAAGCTCAAAAGTTCATTTTCTACATGTATTTCTGGGTTGGCTATTATTTCCCATTGAAAGCTACAATTGTTGATACATTGCCAAATTAATTCCTTTGACTGTAGCGTAATTGCATTTCCAAACATCTGTAACAGTTTGGTATTATCTTGAGAAAAGTAAGTAGATTATTATATACTGAATTTCATTCAGTTTACGCTGTTGGAAACAGTTGACATTTCTGCAGTTTTTAAGAAATGTGAGAAATGACGTGACATTTCTTAACC